CCACACGGCGTATTACGTCGCTGATTTTCGCCGCAACACCGCTCACAACAACATCAATAGAGGACTGCGTCTGGTAGTTTTTAATCATACGAAGCCAGATTAAATTAAAGAAAGACTTCTCCAACGTTATACTTTTCTCCAGAGTGCCGTGGTGCATTGTTTATTAATGTGTTTCAGCGGCATTTACCGAGCGCTGCTCGTCTACCGGAGTTTATTCGACTGTTAACTCGTGGCAGCGGCCGCTGTAAAGTATTCACTGTCTGACTGTCACACAAGCAGCTGATAAATATCCCCCATCCCCATCAGTGAATGTGTGTCAGTATGAATTGACGCTGTTTGGCATCACAACGCTGTTATGAAAGTTTCTCTGGTATTCTACAGGTGATGTTAGCATAGCAACCGAAGCTAATCAGACTATCTTGACTACTTGTTGCTATCATATTGTGGCACAAGCCGTTTTCTACACGCATATTTTACCGGCGTAGTTTTCGTTATGATTGTACTTGTGATGGCCACATGTAGCCCATGTATTGATTCCATCCGATAGCTGCAATAATACAAAACAACAGGAAAACGTCTGCCTCTTCACAATGGTCAATAACAGCGAACGGATGGTTATTAAAGTAAGGTAAAATAAACAGAATCACACTAAGCTGGTTAGTGTTGCCTGACTTTATATAAGTGTTTTGAATAAGTGTGTGGTTGCGTTCTAGTCACTTTGCTCAGCGCTACTGCTTGTTACAACTTGTATTTCGCTGTACTTGCCATGAACTATTATTGCTCAGGTTAATCTCGACCCCCTCCAATGTAAGCGTGACGTATTTGGTTCTTAGATCTTGCCGGGTTGCCGACTCCAGCAAAGGTCAATTGTGTCTAGAGTGCGCCATCTAGTGGGATCAACTGAAATGCCGGGTATTGCAGGAAAAAGGCTAAATGAATGCGGTCTTTACTATAATTTGGACAATTTTGTACCAATATTCGGCGGGCCGGATTAAAAAGCCCAACGGGCCGTATATTGCCCGCCGCCCTTAGTTTGCCCATGCCTCGTGTAAAGGGTATGAACACTTTGATAAATCTACCTTGAGTTAATCATTTATTTTTCCCTTAATTACTTCTTCCAAAATTCATGCCACCTATTATGCAAAACCCACCTTTTCATGTCTTTTATACATAAACATGTGTCCCCGCTGCGTTAAGAGATTCTGAACGTTTCAGGAAACAAGATTTGCTCTCTTTTTGTCTTAATCCATTTATATAAAAACCTGTCTGAAAATGAGCTGATCAGATTTTGGCCACTTTATGATGTCATAAAGATTGCTTGGCTTGTGTTACCTTTAGCCAATCACCAACCAAGGTAACCCCCCCCCCCCCCCCCCCCCCCCCACCTTATCACCTGAATCTCCTCCTAGAGCGCCATTAGGCGCTTTCACACCAAGTACTTTTCCCAGGAATAGTTCCCGGAACTTAGTTCCCCGGAAGTCTTTATTTAAATCCTGAACTATCTAGTACATCGCGTTCACACCGGAATAAGTTCCTGAGGGAGGATTACGCAAATGAAGCCGCTGACGTCACTTCTTCTTCTTCTGCTTTGGGTTTACTGGCAGGCCGCAAACAACTTCACGGCGTATACTGCCACCGGAAGTCCCGAAGTCCCGGGTAAATCGCCAGAAGCGCTGACACCTCCTCATCACTCCACCGCACCGACGTTTTATTGCGTGCGCTGGGCTAATGCTAATAATGCTAATGCGAGCAAATAAAATGGCGACTTCACAAAACCTTTCTGAGTTTTACGGGGCGTGGTTTGCAATTCGCCCAGCCAATCAAAAATTGGAACCGTTTCCTCCCCAGGAAAGTACCACCTCTCTAGCAGGGACTGAAAAGGGGTGAAAAGGTTCCCGAGAACTAAGTTCTAGTTCCAGATCTTTTTGGTGTGAACGCAAAATCTAAAAAGAAAACTATCGGAACTATTCCTGGGAAAAGTACTCCGGTGTGAAAGCGCCTATTGTGTTTATTTTAACCAAATATCTCTCAGAGGGGCGTGGGGAGTGGCTCCTTATTTTCATCTAAAGTAAAAGACAGAGAATCAGTACTTTTGAAACAGGGCTGAAACAGAGGGGTTTATGGGATGCTGCAATGCATGATCTTTTGGGCATTTCGAGCCAACCACTTCAGAGACATGTTTTATATATATATGAGACCTATAATATATTGATGAAAAAGAGTATAATATAAATGAATTGCTCAAAATACAAATATCAGGGTACCCCAGCAGTATGATCGACCAAAGGGGCATAAAGAGGGCAAAACCCCAGAGAGCATGCTTGCTGTTAATTTGTCAATGCAGCAAGTGTCCTTCATGCTGATATCTCTCCCAGATACTTTGTAATGGCCCTGTAATACATACCATGTAAGTGTGTGTTTTTCCAAGAATAAGTGTGTGTTTGTATGAGTGAGGAGCTGTGGAATCTGCTCCTCTGGAGTCTCCATATTCTGCTGTTCTCCATCTGTTTACACAGAATCCAGAGTTTTATCATAACCAAACACACACTCAGGAACTGGCCCTCTCAAACACACATATATACACACACACACACACACACACACACACACACACACACACACACACACACACACACACACACACACACAGGAACTCACTCTCTCACTCTCTCATACACACACACACACACACACACACACACACACACACACACACACACACACACACACACACCACACACACACACACACACACACACATACACACAGACACACACACACACACACACACACACACACCGACTCAACAAACACATTGCGACCATAAATCCTGGTCGGTGAACACATGAACATTCTCCTGTCACAAAGACTAACAGAAAAGATGGCTCTCCTAACAGTGTGTTCCTCTCAGTGTTTGGTAAGAGTGAGCTCACTGCAGCTACACTGATCCTATGTTTTGGAAAATACTGAACTTACTCTGTCATGTCCGTTTCTCCCCCTTGGTGTTTCCGGTCAAATATTTGCTCTTACAAGATCCATTAATAATCACCACATTTTATTTAACATCCTTTTAAGCTGTAAACAATGTCTCAGAACACTGGTTTACATGAATAACTTAAATGAATACACAAAGAATAGAAACTGACAATGTATTGGATATTTGGACAAGGAACACCATAGGTGTGACAAAGTTGACTAAACCATTCTAAAATCAAGGAGAGTGGTGATCAGCAATTGTATATGCTACGCTGACCACCCAATTAATTCTGTCTTTTCCCCGTTCAGAGACCCAGGTCGTCGCACGCATCTCTGCTTGTCTAGCAGACATCTCTCAGTGGATGTCTGCTCACCACCTCAAGCTCAACCTTGACAAGACTGAACTGCTTTTTTTTTCCGGGAAAAGAGTGTCCCACTCTTGACCTAACAATCAACATCGGCCCCTCTGTTGTTTCCCCGACTCAGACTGCAAGGAATCTGGGTGTGACCCTAGATAACAACCTGTCCTTCACTGCAAACATCGCTGCCACAACCCGCTGCTGCAGATACACTCTTTACAACATCAGGAGGATACGTCCACTCCTGACCCAGAAAGCGACGCAGCTTCTGGTCCAGGCTCTCGTCATCTCACGCCTAGACTACTGCAACTCCCTCCTGGCTGGTCTACCTGCATGTGCCATCTGACCTCTGCAGCTCATCCAGAATGCAGCGGCTCGTCTGGTCTTCAACCTTCCTAAATGTTCCCACACCACACTGCTCCTCTGCTCCCTTCACTGGCTTCCAGTAACTGCTAGAATCCACTTCAAGACACTGGTACTTGCGTACCATGCAGTGAATGGATCTGGCCCTTCCTACATCCAGGACATGGTTAAACCATACACCCCAGCACGTGCACTCCGCTCTGCATCAGCCAAACGGCTCGCTGCACCCGCACTGCGAGGGGGACCCAAGTTCCCATCAGCAACAACACGTTGGTTTGCTATCCTGGCTCCAAAATGGTGGAATGAGCTCCCCATTGACATCAGGACAGCAGAAAGCTTACACATCTTCCGGCGCAGACTAAAAACTCATCTCTTTCGACTCCACTTCGAGCGATAGAATTACTAACAAAGCACTTATATACTAATAAAGGACTGGCTTATCTAAAGCCTGTTGAGTAGCACTTGAAATGTTTTGGCTCTATGAAACCTGATGTACTTATATGATTCTGTTTTCTTCAAGTTTGTATCTTCTTGGTCGAATGCACTTATTGTAAGTCGCTTTGGATAAAAGCGTCAGCTAAATGCAATGTAATGTAATGTAATGTTCAAATGCCTAGGGTTAAAATGGACTTACTGGATTCAGAATATTTCTGTGCGGTTCGCTCGTACGTAGTGCGCTTGTTCCAAGTTAAATTGGTTGCAACAGACACTTTTTCCTTTAGATCATTTACTTGCATAAAGACCAAAGGCAGCTGTTGGAGAGCAACAATTTTCCTTGCAACAACTGAATTGTGTAAAATGTCTGGCCAAAACCCTCCCATTTTGAGGAAAGACAGAAATGACCAGTGACCTTTCCCTTTCTCACCATGTGTAACTCAAACTCAATTTCAGTTGATGATGAAAATACACTTTACCACATGTAAAATATGTAATTTCAAAAGAAAATGCTGGGTAAAAAAATCCCACATGAGAGCTGGATTTAAGGAATGCATATTTCATCATAGTGTTTCCACAGTTAATGCTATTTTCCTGTCTGCATCATTAACTACATCTATTTAGGGTTCACAAAAATAAAGAGGCATTTACATGACCACACACACAGCTTCCAACAGCTCTGCTTATTACTACAGCCTGGATATTGTTGGCAGAGGAGGGTCATTTCCCTTCCATTAGTCCTACTGTTGGACTTTCAGCAGCTGTTACTGTATTTTTTGCTAATGCAGGAAAATTAAGAACATTTAATTTACTCTACAAAGTTCTGTAAAAAAAGCTTAATAAATCAGCTTGTGTTCAAACACTCACCAAGATGCTGTTGGGAGGGCCTTGGAGGCGGCAGCGGTGGAGGGGGGGGGTAGTGGTGCATACTGGAGGTCCCGCCTAAACACCGACAATGCCTGCTGCTCCAAGACTGACCAGGAGGACAAGTCCTATTGGCTGCTGGACACCTTCATCAGAGACAGAGAGAGGGAGATTCAAAATAGACACCGTTTTGTTTGTTAACCCTGAATATTCCAGAGCTGGTTTCCTGACTGAATGTATTGAAAATCACATATCATACACATTTGGACTATTTTGTGCAGTCCCTCAACCAATAGCTAGTCAATTAATAAATACATTTTGATTCTGAAATTGCTTTATTTCCAAGAATTTAAAACATTTGAGCAAATACTGAAAACCAGTTATTTTAGTTAGTTAGCCACAATCTTTCCGGCCTGCAGCGGGGTCATGGAGAGACTTAACCTTCACGGAAAGAAGTATTTCTGGTGTGCTTTTTGGATGGGGGGGCTGATGTTCTGCTCACTTGAGGTCCTGGGTAATGATGGAGCCCATGAAGCAGTAACACTCATTGAGTGGAGAGTCAACAACAATCTCCAGCGTTGAGCTAAACCCTCCTTAGCATGCCTCAATATCCCTCATAGATTCACTGGGCCACTTCTTAGATGTCTTTGTGACATTGCCTTAAATGTCAGGGAATGTATGATTTATATTCTCTGATGCAGTGTGTCCCTCTCTTCCCTGGTTAACTTATCACCTCCCACAAAGCCCTCAGGAGGGAGAGGGAACTGTTTGGAAGGGGAGTTTTGTTTGTTTGGAGAAAGAGAAGAGAGAGGGGAGCCTGGGAGCGTGTCAGTGAGAGTATTACAAGACATTAAAGGGGCCTTATTATTACGCTCATATTAAGGTTGATATTAGTATTTTTTGCCTCTACTGTGACATGTCTCCATGCTTTAATGTTCAAAAAGCAGAGCCCAGTCTGCTCTCATTGGTTAGCTGGCCGGCTCTGCTGTGATTGGTCAACTGCTTAGAGATGTCCCGCCTTTTAGCCTATCACGAACAATGTGTTGGAGCGCGAATGATAGATGTTAGGGGACCATAATGATTGAGCAACGTGCCACAAACTGAATCAGTTAATCGCCAACCTTTAGTTGTGTCCGTCATGCAGGTTACCAGTTTGTTTTACCAATCGGCCGAGAGGAGTCAGGTTGGAAAGGGCTGTCCCGTGCAGTACCACCTGTACACCAGGGACGTGCGGTGAGGTTCATGGCTGGTGAGGCACTGACTCTTTCAGAGTCAGATTTACAAATATTATATTTTGACCTTAATCGAAATATTCTGTTATTTTCAAAAGCTTTTTTAGTCTGATGCTTTGATTCATTTTAAACAGACCGTTCAACAAAAGGATACCCAAAATCTAAATATTGGATTGTTCTTTCTTAGTAAGATCCCATTTTCATTACAAATGTGGTCTTACCTTGACTTGAAGATGAAGTCCATGCTATCCTTCTGGACAACAATCTCTATTGCTTTTTTGTAAAAGTCCTCCTTATCTTCCTCTAGTTTCAAAAGTCTAGTTTGTTGTTTGCTCTACCGTCTCTGCGTAGAACTACAGTAGCAACAAGAACCTGTGGGCTCACGTGCGCCCCCTTCAGTGCGGCAGAGGTTATGGCTGCCTCCCCTGGTGCTTTTTTCATTGCCGTTGTATGATGAGACCAGCGAGCCTAAATATCATATATACGTGAAATAAGTTATTTAGAGACTATGGATGGCGAGGATAAATGTAATAAAGGGATCTACAAACATTACATTGGTGACCTACAGTGAGATGGTAACAGGCATGCGCTTAGGGCCCGCTTTCCAGCCAGTTTCTGTGGGGTGACGCATTCTGAGGTGAGGCAGATCTCATCTGTGCCTCACCTCACCCCACAGTAACTGGCTTGAGTGCGCTCACAAAATAAGTGCCCGCGCTAAATTAGTGCCCGCTCTCCAGCAAGTTACTGTGGGCTTACGAGAGGCAGAGCACGTCCCTGCCTCACTTCTCATCGCTCCCATGTAGTTGTAGCGGAGCTCGGCAAATTTGCCGATTTTGACTATAAAAAGCGATTGGAATCATACAGAAATCACATTTACAACACAGATCAGTGGAGACATTTTATTATTATTATTATTTAGTTTTTTTTCCGTTACATTGGAGTATGCCTCCCCTGACTGCACGTCGCTGACACACACACACACACACACGCATGCACTGAGTCTTCCTCCACTCCGACTCTATACCTGCACACACACACACACACACACACACACACACACACACACACACACACACACACACACACACACACACACACACACACACACACACACACACACACACACAGCATCAAGGGTTATTAACGTCAATTAAGTGGATTATTTGAGCCACTACAAGTTCCAGAGTAGAGAAACTAAACCACAAGATTGTCCGTGAGGAGAATGAAACTGTAGATATTAACCTGTTAAGCCCTGAGCCTGTTTTTCAGGTCTCAGGCTCGAAAATGACATTCCCAGAACAAATGACCATATCTTCCCTTCTAAAAGGGTTAAATTAATAATCTTTTCTCTCAAAGTAATGATAAACCTGTGAGTTGGATGTAGAAAAGTCAGAATCAATATAGATGTTTTTTATTTTAAAGAAGATTCAGATTTTACATAGTAAAAAACTTTAAATTATAGTGTCCGTCCAAACATTCTTTTTTACTTATAGTGAAAACTACCCTTGGATGATGGTAAGGTAGACTAAAAGCTTTAGGAATCCAAAGTACAACATATAATAAGTACCCTGTATCAAGATTGATGCAAAACAAGTGACATTTGACCTTTTTAGAGAGATTTAGCAAAAAGAAAACTCCACCTCTGAGGTGATTTGGGTGGAAATTAGCGTTTTTACCGTTTCTCTGGAACCCAGAACCCAGAGAAACGGATGTGCAGAAAAGATAAATAATAAGGGTTTTATGAGTGAGTTTCTGTGCAGTAATGTGTTAGCATTTTTCGCTCGTTGCTAATTCAGAGGCTCAGCGTTAGCATTGTGGGTTTAAAAAAAAAAAAAAAAAAAAAAAGATCAGTTAGATGAGTTTCTTCCCATTACACGGATATAAAACATTCATAGTTTATTAAATATTAAGATGCCCTCAGACACTGTTTCCTCAGATGACGCGTTTTTCCCCCCGGTATCGGGGGGAAGGTGCTTAACAGGTTTTAAAGGGACCAAATATAATATATCAGTTTAATGAGAAGTGAATATGAAAGTCTGAAGTTGTGTAAATGCATGTGAAATCAATTTTATTCACATAACATCAATCACATAAGAGGAGCATCCTATGATATTACATTCCAATGATATGTACTAAACACACACACACACACACACACACACACACACACACACACACACACACACACACACACACATTTCTTTAAACAACATCTACTTGGATTCCACTATGATCTGCCCATCGTTTATCATACTGCTCCTTCTCCTGATTTGAAAAATGATGAGACCTGTACATGTATAAAACTATTCTAGAGAACATATTGTTCATCAATCAATGTCAGCTAATTAAAGATATATATGTTTCAAACTTATGTCCTCAAACTTCAGTTAAGAAATGCAACATACAGTATTTATGCTTGAGGTAACATTAGAGTATTTCCCAAACAACTGAAATGATTCACTGTAAAATGTCCTGCTTTGTAATCCCGCTTGATGAAAAAGCCCAGTGTGCTCTGATTGGTCAATGTCTGCGATATCTGCGCCCTCTGAGTGCATTTCTCCATGGATGTGTGGTTGCCGCCAGTGCTGTTGCCTACAGGGCTTATGAGCCAATAGTATAAGGACTTGAAAGGCTTCTCAATTCTCTCATTTCCTCTCCTCGACTCCTCGGTCCTCCGGTAGTGACCCGGAATCTCATCTCATTTCTCTAAATGCACATCGAGGACCGAGCATCGAGCATCGAGGAGGCTCTCTGGAGGAGCTATAATCGAGGATACACTGATGGGTCCTCCGCGGATGTATTTCCGGCAACAGAGATGTTTCAAAGAGTCGTGACACACGGCCGGACTTATCTCAACCAATGACAGCTCTGCATGCATCCCCTGGATATTATTTTAGTAACTGCTTTCATCGTGACGCAATGTTTCCAGTGAGAACAGCTGTGAGGTCCGTGCAGAAAGCAGAGCAGTGTGTATAATATATATCACTCAGTATAACAGGCCTACATTACTCTCTGTATTTGTTTGCTGTAGTTTAGTAGATATCTACAAACAAAGAGTCCATATTTTTCTAAAACCATTTAGTGCTTCACATAATAAAATACACAACGGCTGTAGCCTGATTATATTATATGCTGTAGGAGCTGTAGGTGCGTGTTGTACAGTATGTAGGTGTGTGTGTGGTACAGTGTGTAGGTGTGTGTTGTACAGTGTGTAGGTGTGTGTGTGGTACAGTGTGTAGGTGCGTGTGTGGTACAGTGCGTAGATGCGGCGGACAGACGGGTCTCAGTTGGTTTGGTGTCCTATGCTTACTTTTAATACTTGTAAATAAAACTTTTGCCCCGTCATTTCAATTCCCCATTTCAGCGACCAGAGAGAGAGGGGGGGGGGGCCAGTCTCTGATTGTGTTACGTTATTATGAGAGTGCTCTCATACTTGTTTGATTCTGAAATTGTATATATATATAATAATATGTGTGTATATGTCCGCATCTGTAGCCTGTTATTGTCTCATTATACCGCACTGTGAATGAAAGTAAATATATAAGTGGTCATGAACACATCTGTCCATCAGACAGAGGGCTGCTGTGCCTCCTGTCATCATTAATGGACGTCTCTTTAAAATGACTGCTCAGAGGAGAGGAGTTCTCATTTCTCTGACCGCCTGCTGCTTCCCCTCCTCTCTCCTCGGTTCCCCTCCTCGACTCCTCCGCTCGCATCTCCTGTGGGCGGGGCTAAGACACGAGGATAGGAGTCGAGGAGGGGAGTCGAGGAGGGGAAATTAGAGAATTGAGAAGCCTTCATGGTGTCACGCATCTCTGTGTTGTCAGTCAGTTATTATGAAAAAACAGAAAAGTTTGATGGTTTGATGGTGAATGGCGGCTTCACTCCCATCCCAAGTGCTCAGGGACAAAAGGAGGAGCAAGGCCAGTTGGATTCATCTGAAGGAGTTACAAAGTCTAAAAAGCCACGCTGGCATCTTAGCTCACCGGTAATCCACACCAACACCGTACATTTGCCATCTGACTGGCAAACACCCTATTTTGACATTAAGGGAATCTAACAAACACTCGTTATACCTGTGTTTGCCAATAGGAAGACCTCTGTGTGTGAGTGTGTGTGCGTGTGTGTGTGTGTGTGTGTGTGTATGGGTTGCACAATGATGCAGTGAGTACTTACTCAGGCAGGGCTCTCCGGATGATGCTGTGAACCTGTTTGTAGACGTCCAGTTTGGACAGGCAGCTGCACTGGGTGTGGTTGGCAACACTGATGGTCACCGGCTTGGTGCCTTGGGTGATCGGCACTGTGATCTCAAACAGCTGCATAGAAAGCAAACAAGAGGACAAAAAGACAAGGTAAATCAAGACAGGGTGCAAAAAGAGACTGACGGGCAGCATGAAGGATTGGCAGTGCACTGTCTGTGTGTTGTGACAAGGGAGCAGCAGAGGGGCATATGACTGCAGTGGCAGCTATAAATACCATTATAATCTGTACAAATATCAATAGTAAAGAAAAGCTAATACAGTTATACTCCTAGAGGTTAACAGGTTGTCTTCTCATCCATTAATTGATCAGGTTGATTTTGGCTTGATTCACTGTTTGAACCATTTTTGTGCAACAGTGTTTTTTAAATACTCGATTTCTAGGCTTTACCTCGGTGCCGTTGTTGACAGTGGAGCAGTCAAAGCTAGCTGGTGTTTTATGGGTCTCTACCGCCAGGCTGCTAGCCATCGGCGCGGTCCCGCAGTCCTCCGATGGTGTGGATGTTGGTCCAGATGCTAGGCCAGCAGCCACCGGCGCGAGCCCAGAGATCCTCCCGCAGAGCTAGCTGTTTTGCTAGCCGGCCTCTTATGAAGCCAGCTGGCGGTGTGTAGATCTCTCCTGCTCGGCCACCAGCCCTCTGCGCTGACCCGCAGTCCTCCGAAGGTGTGGGTAGAGGTCCTGCTGCTAGGCCGGCAGCCGTCAGCGCGAGACCGCAGAGACCCACCGGTGGTGCTAGCTGTTCAGCTAGCCAGCCTCTTCGGAATCCGACTGATGGCGTGTGGAGCTCAGCGGCTGGGCCGCCAGCCATCAGGTCGATGGAAACGACGCCGGGACCCGGACACGGGTGGATATCTCCCGAGAGCAAGAGACACAGCAGAGCCAATAGCCCAATATTCTCCTCTTTTCGTTTTAGTCCCTTTTTTTTGTTTGAGAGAGTCTGCCAGGAGTGCCAGATGAATGAACTGTTAAATGTTAAGAAGCCTTGAGACGCTGTTTCTTGCAAGATGTTGCGTCTGCTCCCGGGAGTCTCACAATAATAAGAGCACTGTTTGGAGAGATGACGAGTGGCATTCACAGTGGCCAATCAGAGTGGTTCTCAAACCGGATACGTCACACGGGATGAGGGTTCCAAACCAACCAGAATTGTTTAAACTAAGGAAGTAGCGTAATTCATATACCGATAGCAGCACGGTTTGTCCAGCGGCTTAACGGTATACCAATACCGTCCAATCAGCTACCGGTACTGACTTAGTACCGGTTCTCGATACCCATCCCTAGCTATGAATAATACTGTTGTTGTATAACACCCATGTGCCCTCTTACTGGAACTGGGTGTGCGCTTGGCATGGGAGATGTTGTGTCCTGCGGCTCCACTGCTCAGTTGGGGATGTTTTCGTTATCACTGGTTTATCCAGCTTGATGACAAGAGAGCAGAGGCCTGTACTACGAAGCTGGTTCAACCTAACCTGGATATGTTTGAGTTAGCCGGTTGGCCCAATCCAAAACATACGCGCTCTGGCTAAGCTGTACTACGACGCTGGTTATCAAGTGGATCGCTCAAGCCAGCCGTGTCCTATCTAGTTAGGTGCGCGTTCACATGAAAGGGGTGGTATTTGGAGCATTCGACCAATCACAAACATGGACAAGCGTACTGACAGCGCAGCGTCATACTTCCTGAATGAAAAGTGAACTTTAATATTAGTCAAATATGAAGAAGTTAAACTTTAAACATCCATGACTTAAACACTTTATCCAGGATCAAAGCCACATAGCTGCACCTGCAAGGTGAATACAGCTGGTAAAAGAAAAAGTGTTTGAATGCGTACATTAACAGGTTTATGATATCACTGCCCCGTCTAAGACACGATCTGACTTTAATTACATTTGACTCGAGTGTTTCGTCAACTTAATGTGTTGCTTAAAATAATACTTCTGCATACAGTATGTGACACTGTGAGTGTTGCACGGCCAGATACGGCTCAAGAAGCTGACTCAGATAAGGAAATATATGATACATTATGATGTGATATGATATGAATGATAATGGGACACATCGACGTCTGCACTCACAGTGCTGCGGACTGTACTTAATGTTACTCTGATCCGGTTACTTATGTCGTGGCAGATATTTAAGTAAGCTTTCTTAACGCTAATGTTATAATAGTCAGATTGCTCTGAAGATGGGAAGGTGATATTCTATTAATGTTCACGTTCACACAGTCAGTTGATTTTTGCCGGCCGTCTTTCCTGCAACGGCAGTTTTTCTGTATTTCCTCTATCCTGTAATATGAATTGATCGCTTTAAACTCCGCACACGGAGCTCTGATTGGTCAGCAGGCAGTGCTTTCACTGAGTTGATCTCTTAGCCTGCAACCTAACCTGCTCCGGAGCAGGTTAGCCGCTCAGCATAAGTTACCATGGAGATCTAGCCCGCTAAAAAGAGAACCAGCGTCGTAGGACCGGAAAGCCCGAGTTTTCCCTGAAGTCAGCCGCCTAAGCGAAAATCCAGCTTCGTAGTACAGGCCTCTGGTGTTGGCGAAAATACATTGTTGATGAATAGGTCAATTTAAGCTCCTGTCAGATCTGTTTAATTTGGTTCATAGAGTATTATATTGTTTTCATGTGATATTTTAATGTTCTCCAAGTTAGCTGGATGTGCCATTCAAACTTGAAAATAACTGAATATGTCTGTGGCCGTTCAACTATCCTAGACTTCAATAAGAATTCCATCAACAAAAGTGGTCCATCATAAGAACACACCATTTCATACACTCTTTTTACAAGGACCCTCAAAAGGAGCACTCAACTTGTCTAACTTGAAGCTGAATCACTGGGGAAATGATCATTTCAAAGTGAAAGCAATGAGCGAAAATGTGAAGGATTACCACTTGAAGAACAAAAGGAGTAATAAGGAGCTGGGCTTGGTCTTCACATGGCTCTGATAAAGATACTTTCACAAGACTGCTTTAGAAAAAAGAGCAGAAACCCTGAGAACCACTTCATTCTCTCAATCACACAGTTGGATAGCATGAAATGAAGCTAATTAGTCTCAATGACTCCTATTCAAACAGCTTGAGCTTCTCTTGCTCTCTTCTTAATGAGGATATCATTAAGGCTGACCTCAGTCTTTTTGACCTGGTATAGAGCGCTCCATGGTTACAGAACAGACACACATAAAAAGAGATCTTGAGATCGCAGTGAACAACACGGGGATGAAAGGTTTGTCAAAACACACTTCTAATGATGTTTTGGTTTGCACATGCAACATTCTTAACACTACGTATGTCTCCTTTCAGGCCTTGATGTTTGGAGAGACCAATTTCCAGCGGAGGGTTGAAGTGACCAGAAGAAAAGATTGTCAAACTAAAGCTTGTTTAAATATTTAAAAACGTGATTGATCCTTTTGATTGATTCAACAGAGGGATTGCCAGTTAACAATTGATGAAAACATCAACAATCAATGTACTGTATATTTAATATTCTATGTGTGAAATTGAATGCATTTATAATATATTTTTAAAGCAGCCACATTCACCACTGTCCTTTGATTTATCTCTGGCAATTATATGCCAACAGAACATCTTGATTTTAAAGTGTGGTGGTCAATACTCGCAGGAGAATTTAGCGTCTGAATTGTGTGACGGATTTAATCTTTTAAAATACAATGGACTAGATAACATTGTGACTGTGATGATAACATATCAGAGAAAAGACAGATGGTAAATAAGTGTATTACTGCAATGAGAAAAAAAAACATAAGAAAATAATTCTGTTTTTTGCACCATTGGTCTTTAGATGTGTTGGTGTTTGTGGTGCTGAATGGAGAGCTCCTGCAGAAAGCACTTTAAATGCAACTCTTAATTTGCCTGAGTATAATTTGTGTTTCTTTTACTGAAGTGCTTTGCATTGCCACACAGCTGCTCAGGGGGAAATGAATTCAAGAAGAGACCAAAGTCTATTATCTTCTCCCCTTCTGTGGTCGGAGGCTGATGTGTTGTCAGTGCCACAGACCCTGTACTCACAGATGTTAAACCACACACTCAGATGGAATGAATTCAGAAAAATGTTGCTGCTTTGCTGAAGGCCGGCATGGAGAAGCAATGATAAAACATCTAATAAAAACAGCTTAAAATCAGTGAAAGTGGGGGATTTACTCCTCCCTGCTGATGTAACACTTGGCCCTGAGAAAATTCTGTCATCTATCCATTTGCTATTTACTATGATCAGACAAGCTTTGTCTTTTTGAGTTTATAGGGGTAGGCTGCCAGTTTGCCTTTAATAATGTGTTAAGTTTTGGCTGTAGGTGGTTTCATAAAACATGGAAGGAGGGTATCCCTGGAAGGCTTGAGTGTTCTTAAAGTCATGCCATTGTGCCAGATCATTTTGGTGTACAAATGAAACTTTGTTCGGCCTGTGTATGGTGCTAAAGAAGGTCATAGAAAACATTATGAGTCATTGTCTATGAACCATGACTTAACACAGAAAATGTATCTGCCATCTGGCAATTAGCTGTCAAGATATCTTGCTCTGGGACAGAATGTTGGGAGGGGGACAGGCCAGCTGACATTGGGCCCCATTACTAGTGAAGCAGTGAATAATATCTCTAATACAGCATATGTAAGGTATTAAAGGTAAGGTCTTTTAACACAGCCAACCATGACAGAACCAGAACACATTAACCAATATGAAAGAATGAACGTCACAATAAACCAGGAAGAAAAAATGGCACCCTGCAGAATGAAAATACACCACAGGCTGGACCCTTCTGCAGAGAACCAGACACACATAAATGCTTAAAGACACTTACAGTCAGCCAAGTTGTAAATTAAACAGTTTAGAACAACTTCTATTACCTGCTAAGTGTTGAAACCTTTCAACCATTGCCAGCTGCTCGAGGCATTGCCAAAGCAAATCTGCAAAAATGAAACCTCAGGATGACGAAACCAACCACAGAACGCTCTTTAGAGAAACACTTTGACCCCTCACCTTTCCAAATATCAATTTTCAAACAAATTATTTACAATGACATTCAGAAAATCATTCAAATTCAGTTGAATAGTAAATTGTCTATCTAGTCTGCCATCATTGGAATGATGTACTGAGTAGCATATGTTGGTCGTCTAACTCTGGCCAGTAGTCTGATGTTGCAGCCAAAAACAGCAGTTAGCGAAAGCCAGTGGAGAGAAGGAATGTGTTGTGAAACCTCACAAAGACTGAGGCTCAGCACCCACAGCCTTGTTACCGCTGCCAGGCAAAAGCCTCTTAGCCTTAACCTTGGCCTCCTTCTTTCTTAACTCAACTTAAGGATAGCATGCTTCATTCTACGTTCCAAGAACCTTTCAAACACCTTTGTCGAGTTTGGGACAGAATTATGAATCAAGGCTGACTTTAAGTGTGTTTACTTTTAAAAGTGAGTTAATTGTAGGCTCTTTCTGTAAAGGACAAAACAGCAATAGACAAGTGTTATCAGACACCAATGAACCAATCAACACCATCTGAATCTGATCGAATGTACTAACTAGGTTTTGGCTCATCGATGCTGACACGACCAACCACAGTTGTTTTTCTTTAACTGGCAGCTGAGTATGTAAGCAGTTGTCCAAGTCTCACCACAAATAATCAAAACACGAAATGTTGGACACTGCCATAGGCGAATATCATTTCATTTGGCCATAGACCAATGGCAGTCAACAAGCACATTTCTTGATCGGTTTTGGTATCGGTCAATAAACCGTTGGATCCCTAGCCCATCGTGCCATCACTCAGTTCAGTGCATATCAAAGCTTCCTCTTTTCTCTTTAACTTCCTCCATTCTGATGCTTACAAGGTTCATACGTGTACAGTCTTATACAGACACTCATTCTAACATATGAGTATAAAAACAATAATTGCATTTTCACATAGGTCTACAAACACAAATACGCAGTCATGCATTTGTGGCTACAGTACCCTTCCTGCTCTGATTGAAATCAGCTTCATAAATCATCAGCCAAGACTGCCAATGGTAGCTCATAAAGTGAACACATGGGAAATGAATATAGCAGCTGGCGATTGAGGTGTATGGAATGCACACTGTAAGCTAACCTTCAGCTAACGGCTACACATCATATACGTCTGCACAGTGGACAACTTCGGGACAGAATGCCATGACTCAGAGAAGGCAAATAGACATTTCAAAGCTTGTCTGATGCCCCAGGTCTGGCTGTTGGTAAGTTATCATTATTAAGGGGAAGGTTTCAATGCTACAAGGAGGGAGGTGCTAGCTAGGTAGCTTCCCTACCTTTCCAGTGACAGGATTTAATGAGGGGTTCACAGTCCCAAAAAAAAAAGTGATTTATAAGAACACAATGAATCAGTGAATGTGATAGCATCAGGAAGAGCCCCGTACTGAGAGAAAAAACATGCTATTTACTCAACAAGGGGATGAGTGTAAACCTAAACCAAGAGTCTCCAGGTGTGAACCTGGTGACATCATCTATGAGCCATGCATTCGTCTTTTTCTTGTGAAATTCTGGGTGGTCCAATCTTCAACCATTAAGGATCCCATATACACAGAGCACATTGTAAAAGTGTAAAGGCATAAGAGTGGGCTTACAGTTTTGCTGAGGTACCCAGTGGAGATGTTTCTGCACTGTTTGTCTTCAGAGTGGCAGCACCCTCCACATCTGTAGACGGACACACAGGGTGGTTTATAGAAGATGTTGGTGGGAGCCCCGAACTCCCTGCCCACGTCGACACACACTTCCCTGGGCATGCACTGAGTCTTCCTCCACTCCGACTCTATACCTGCACACACACACACACACACACACACACACACACACACACACACACACCACACACACACACACACACACACACACACACACACAACACACACACACACACACACACACAGTCAGCACCACCACCGCCTGCAACAGATCTATTCTCAGCTGCTGTTCATGGATGAGAAGGAAAAATCCCTTGTTTAAATGTGTTTTATTATCTGACCAGATTTATAAGTATGTAATCACTTCTTGACTGATAGACCTGCAAAAGTAAGCAGTTGCATTTCAGTCCCCGTAAGCCCCTGCTGGAGCCAATATGATCCGTCAAAACCGACAGCAGTATGATAAATGGATTCTTCCTAATAGAAAAGTGATCAAAATACCCTGCAGATTATGACAGAAAAATACAGAATGTTTACTCTCCCAGCAAACTCTGTACAGAATATATGATTACATTTTGTACCAGAAACCAGAAATTAGAAAATATTAAATGTATTTTATCAATCATTATATTAAGGCACCCTCAAATGCACCAAAAAAAACATAGAATTCAAAATGGCCAAGTTCCTGTTGGGTTTACGGTATACTGTACATCCTCTCCATGTGTTACATATACGTACAAGATTTCCTACATGTAGGACAATCCCATATACGGGGGCAGCGTAGTAGGTGGCGCTGTGGAGCCGGTTTGACACACCCATGCTCACAAACACTTTTTCCCAAATTGTTTAAGCGTCAGCTACTGGCAACAGGAGGTTACACGTTTGGTACTTTAACATCCTCCTCCCAAAGCTAACAAGAACTGCGTCAAGGGACAACTTTTGCAACTTGAAATCAGTGTTGTCAGATGTCCATCCGTCTCAATATCACCTCTTTACTCATCTCAGTTCTGACATTTATTCAGCAGTTTCTTTATAGAGGCAATGGCAAGGCAATAGTTGTTTTTTAGGTAAGTGAAATTATTTACTTAATTCATTAGTGTCACAAACGTTTGTTGTCAATCTGGGACCTGTTTATAAATGCAGCTGGAGAACAACGTTAACCAGATTTGACAGGGAAATAAGCCATGTAAAACTGATCTGTAACACAGGTTTACCTGAATCACAAATATACCTTTTTAACCTCCCTGAATCCATGAAACCATTTCTAAACTAGAGTGTGCAACGAGAAAACTGCAAATATCTCCAAAGTATTTGAGGTATTTCACTGAAATACCTAAAATACTAGCCAGGGTTACAGTTTGTAACTAAAGTATAATCTTCATAATCATTTGTTCTTAAGGTCACTTGGGGTGCCCAACCTTTTTTAAACCGAGATCTACTTTTTAAAGTTGCCAGTCCTGCCGAGATCTACCAGTCCAAATAGAGAGGCGTAGCCATTACTGACAGCCTACTACCAGGTAAATACACACTTCTACTTGTATAAAACTGACCTTTGTACGATTAATACTTCATAAAATACTGCAGATCCTTTATCTTACCTCTTTCTAATCTACACACATACAAGTATTTAACTGAAGTTACACAACAGTGTTGTTGATACAGAGTTGGGAGTTTATTCACACGTCACATACTACAGTGGGTAATGTTTTCAAGAAACATTGAACAGTGCTGCCACATCTGACACAGGAGAAAAAGAAAAGACTCTGAACCCTTTCTTTGCCATTATATAAAAATAGTGTTGCTACAAAAGTATAAATTAGGCTTACTAATAAGACAACTCAGATCTGAAGCTACACAGGAATCTGCTGCCAGAGTGCAATAAAAAAGACAAAATTAATAGAATCAAACCCTTTTTTTGTTGCATTTTAGTAGAGTATAAAAAGAAATGCCTTTAAAATAGGATGCAAGCAACACTAGTTTCTTAACCTGAATTGATAATAGACTATAATCAATTTAAACAGAACAGATCTTAACGTTTGCATTCTTATACCATTCTGTACAATAATTATAATGAATAAGTTCAAACAAACTAAAACTTACAGCTGATTAATAACGGTATCTAACTTGAGTTTTTATTATATCAAAAACCTGTTGAAATGCCTACTGTTATTTTTACTGTCCCCAAAAAAGCGCGTCGGCAGCCTCCAGGAATGCTTCTTTCACAACCTTCGCCGTCTTTGAAAGACTTCATGTGTTTCGCAAGAATGTGAACTGACACGATAAGATGCTATTGGTAGCAGCCTTGCTCTTGTTGTTGGGCCTGTTGAAAATGGACTGCTGTGCATTTAGCTGTCCTTTCAGGTCCCTCACCTTTTGGGAGCGTAGGGCAGAATTGGGAGGGAATCCGTCTCGTAGCGTTTGTGCACTGTTTTGAAATGCCGCTCCTAAATTACCCTTCTTCTATAAAGCCACGCTCGCATTGCAGATGAGACAGATGGACTTTGAATTGGAATAGATACAAAAATAATCATCCTCCCACTCGGAGTGAAAATTATATATTTTGGGCTTTTTTGCTTCTGCCATAATTGCGGTCTTGTGTGTGTGCGGACTGTCACTCCTGTTGACACGAGCCTCATCTCAATACCCCTCCTCGACTCCTCCTTTCCCTCACTCGCGTCCCTTCCTTGCGTCTTAGCTCCGCCTCCGTAAGATGCGAGCGAGAGACACGAGGAGGTGACGCGAGGACAGAGGAGTCCTCAGGTATTAATTGGGATGTCCTCGTTCACTCAAACGTCACTCTTAAACGACGTCTGTTAATGATGACATGTTGCACAGCTGTATCCCCTCTCATCGGGCTTAACTGAATAACCTTTAGAACCGCCCATTTGTTGTTAAATATGTATTTAAATGATGAATTCTTTCTCTTGTTAGTCAAGGAATTCAATGTATGATGGTTGGTCCCTGCTTTTGTGTTCCGTTTTGGTGTAAAATGTACATTTCAATAAAATTATAATTATAAATAATGTGAAAGCCTTTACTCTGAACATGTGTGTCCTGTAGATCCCCACATTCACCACAAACCCACATTCAGGACTGTGAATTTTAAATAATTTAACTCCTGAATATCTTTAACACAAAACAAAACAAATAATTTTTATTTATCAAGATCTAGCCATTTATGAATAGCTTTCTTAATAGCTATGTTTTAGTGACGTTCAAGATCATAAACATGACTTAAATTGTTAGTATAACCTTAAGAAATGAATTGCACATAATAATTCCCACGGAGCTGTGAGCACTTATACATTTATGTGACGCTTTTTCCACTCATTCTTTCCAGTTCTCTCGTTCTTCCTGTTTCCTGTGTTGAAATCGACCAGCTGTGAAGGTGGGGGGCGGGGCTGAGTAGTGAAAACACTTCCGCGTAGTCTGCTCTCGTGTATCCTTCCTTTCGTCTCCTCCCGCACCCCTCCTCCCTCACCCCTCCTCGACTCCTCCGTGTGCATTTCAGCTCTTGGGACGTCCTTCAAAATGGCGTGTCTTGATCGATTTCCGGGTCAAGTCCCGGAGGAGGGGAAGAGAGGAGTCGAGGAGGGGTATTGAGATGAGGCTACTGACAACATCAGCTAACTAGTGCCCACTGCCCACCAGCCACGCCCCGACACATGGGGTCACGCCGGCCAATCACAAAGCTTTGATACGTTCAAGTGCATTATTCTGGCGACAGGAAGATTATGTTATAGGACATTAACGATAAAACAGAATAATTGTTGTTCTATTTTTAGACACATCTCGCGATCGACTGGGAATCTCCCCGCGATCGATCCGACTGGTTGGGCACTCCCGCTAAGTCATGGCTCAGACTACATGTGGTGAAAAACAGTGTAGTTTCCATCAAATAAATACTACTAAGCTAGATGATAAAATGATGCCCAATGGAAATAAATACAGGTTTTTCTTATGTTTAAATGTGGTGTTGTTTTAGAGAGTTTGGCAGTGTTTCATATCATGTATAAACGTAATTGTGGTGTTAACTCAGTTAAAGACATAACGTAAAAACCAATTTCATTACAGCCTGCCTAATATCGCAAACTAATGAAAAACAAACATTTGGTGACATCATTTCAAACTTGAATCTCTCAAAGGCCACTCTTCATTAGATGATTTAATGAAGGGCCCTCTAAAGGAGCTTTTCTTTGAGGTGAACATTTAGAGTGTGCTGCTGTGATTCCCCAATTATTATTATTTTCAAATCAGAAAGAAATAGTGTTAAATAAGTTAAAACATACTTTTCAGGACATCCAGGTTGAGGTAGGCAGCAGCGAAGGTTGGCTCCTCAGCCGGGGGCCTCAGTGGGCTCTGAGCCCGGGGGGAGACCCTGGAGGCCGAAGAGGCCGCAGAGAGTTTGGGATCTGCACTTCAGAGGCGGTCCAGTACGAAGGATAGATGAGACTCATCAGCTCGTCCACGCTGGAGGCTGAGCGCAGCTGCTGCTCCATGTCTGGCTTCAAGGACGAGTCCTGGAAGAGACAACACACACTGAGACACTGTGGTACTGTTACACAGCTTCAATACTCAAGCAATGACTGAGAGTGTGAACTACATCCACTGCCCAGACTTATTATGGTCATTGTTCAGATCCCATTGTTGGAATGACTGTTTACATTGTTTTTTTTTTAATCATGGCCAATACCAATTCTAGTGAAAAAACTGGTCACAGTACTGAACCGACCCAAAGACATCCACACGAAGCACGCTGACGTACAACAGGAAACATGGGGGCCAGGGAAGCATCATGAATAAGTTGATCTGCAGTGAAAGCCGGGGGTCATGATGAGCATATGGACAATCAGAAATCAGAAACAGTTTATTGCCAACAAATAAAACTATTATGAAAAACTATTTTAACATTAATATATGGAGCAATTTGTACATGAAATATAGATATACCCAAAAACTATGTAGAGTATAATATGACAAAATAGAATAAAATTAAATATGTGCAGTGTGTTTGAAAGTATGAAAAGTGGAAAGCAATGCAGATATTAAAGAGGTAGCTTGGTGTACAATGTGTATCGCGTGCATTAATGTAATGCAAAGTGTCCATAATGTGGCTGAGGGTAAGAGAGGACGAGGATGGAGATAGAGCCCCATTTATAATCCTGGCATTTTGTGAAGCAATAGCTGTCACTTCTATAGAGAGGTTCGTGTGAGTCAGCAGCAGCAATGGAGTGAATGTCACTACAACACATTTTAGAAGCCTTTTTTTCTATATATTTCAGTTATATATGTATATATGCTCTCCGTGAGACTTCTGAAAAATGTCAACCAATTGTAATGGTTGGATTGTTGGAAGTGCATGATGATCATCATCAATGATATGATATCATAATACATTGTTGTCAGTTCAAGTCTGGAGGGTTTCTTTCATCACAGCAGCACCACAACTTCTACATCAAATATTAAGACAAGAAACAAGGACACAGACATACAACATAACATTCAATCATTATATGTTCAAGACACCTTTTGTACTTTTGATTTAGAATTGAAAATATTTAATTTTAACAATACATGGTTGACCACTGCATTGCCAAATGTCATGGTAACAATTCATATTGTTAGGACATGGACGGGGTTAGAGACAATCTTAATATGCTATTATGGTTGTTTTTCTTCTTAGAGTCTCTCACAGACTACAATTGTTGAGCAGAGGTAATTTGGTTTAGCACTGGTGCGGTCGCTGGAGAGGTGACATGAGCCTCAAAAGTCAGGTTAAAGAGTGAGCGAGTGTTGAGAGGTTAAGAGAGAAATCATCGTTGCATTGATTTGATAGGTTTCGACATTTTGCCCTTATGGGTATCAAACCAACCCAGCGTTAGTAATATGAACAGGGGCGGACTGGCCATCTGTAGAATCTGGAGAACCACAGAACGGCCGGTCGTCAAGGGCCGTTGACGGCCGGCCGGCCCTTTACATTTTTTTAATTTAACGTCATCTTTTAATTGCGCTGACGGCCGACAGAGGGCGACAGCGGCCGCTATGCAGTTGTGTGGTTCTTATCTGTCAAATAATCACACACGAAGAAGAAAAAAGACCGGCCACACGAAGAAGGGATTAGACGCCGAGAAGGAGAGAATGAAAAACATAGATACAAATCAAAGAAAACGGTGGGGGCGAGAAGGCAAGAGGAAAAATGGTGAAGTCACTCGCAGGTGAAGCATATAAATGTCGCAAATTGACAGACCTTTTTCAGCAGCTTAGAACAAGTGCAAGATGATGAAGAGAATGATGAGGGCGCGAGTTCAGATATACAGCCAGCCTCCTGCGTTCATGATGAGGGACAGAGAGTTGAGCTGGTGGAAGAACCAGCTCAACTGGCACATACAAGAGCAGGCAAGAGGCAAGAGGTGGGTGAGAACTATCCCTTGAACTGCATAAATGCCAGCCTAATAAACAGCTGATTTCTAATAACTAATAACAAATAGTACTGTTTGTGTGTTTACTGTTTTACGATGTCCCATGTGTTTAAGACATCTGAGGAGTGTCCGCCCTCTTTAGGTGAGAATTATCCCTTAAACCAGGCGGCGGCTCAGGTTTGGGAAGGCTAAATAACTTTTTTTTACCTGACGCTGCCCGCCTCCGGCGTCTATAGAAAAGAGATCAACTCAGTGAAAGCACCGCCTGCTGACCAATTAGAGCTCAGTGTGCAAAGTTTAAATCTATCAAGTCATATTACAGGAGAAAGGAAATACCGTTTAAACTGCCGTAGCCTATGCAGAGAAGACGCCGACATGTCGCACTTATCATTCATATCATGAATCAGATCATCGATCATATAATATCACAATATTTCCTTATCCGAGTCAGCTTCTCGAGCCGTATCTGGCCGTGCAACACTTACATTGTCATATACTGTATGCAGAAGTATTATTTTAAGCAACACATTAGGTTGACGAAACACTCAACTCAAATGTAATTAAAGTCAGATCCACTCGTGTCTTATGGGGCAGTGATATCATAAAACTGTTGCACGCATTCAAACACTCGGTAGCCTAGTTTATTTATTTTTTAACCAGTTGTTATATATTCACCTTGCAGGTGCAACTATGTGTTTGTATCCTGGATTATATGTTTAAGTCATGGATGTTTAAAGTTGATATTTGTCTAATATTAGTGTTACTTTTCATTAATGAAGTATGATGCTGTGCTGTCAGTACCTTGTCCCTGTTTGTGACGGTCAAATGTAGCTAACCCCGCCCCTTTCACGTGCTCGCAGCTGGAGAGAGAAACCCTGGCTTGATTTACCGAGTTGATAACCAGCGTCGTAGGACCGCTTAGCGAGATCTCGTTTGTTAGGGTTAGTTAAGATAACTCAAACATATCCAGGGTCTGTTGAACTGGCTTCGTAGTACAGGGCACAGGTGGCTGCATAGCAGCGCTAATGTCAAAGACACAAACATTATACATTATATTTTATTTTACCAGGATGCAGTGAACACAATTATTAAGGCTTAGCCTTCCCTAGCCGACAGTACCAACCAGCGTACCCCGCCGCCCCTGACTTGAACTGCATAATAGTAGGCTATTGTAAAAAAATTCTGATGCACCACCGCCCCCCACCCCCCTGAATGTGGCTGGTCATGGGTCAGATTCCAGGGCTGAATTGTAGTCCCAGTTCCGCCCCTGAATATGAATATGTTCATTAAATCACACTTTCCGGTCCATTAGCCTCAGGTCCAACTAAAGATCATCATGTGGGCGCTCTCTAGCTTCAGTCCACAACCATACAGGCACAACTAAGCAACACTATGTATATATATAATACATAAATACAGGCAGAAGCAAGAGAAGCCTCAGTCTCCAGAACATAGTCTGTTACACAAAGTAGTGGAAAGCAACTCAGTACATTTACTCAAGTTAGTACTTTCAGTACTTTTTTGACATATATGTACTTTACTTGATAGTTTCCATTTTTTGCTATATAAATTACTTTCTACTCCACTTATCTCAGAGGCAAATATTGGACTTTGCAACTCAACTCCATTACAAGTAACAACTTATAGTTACTTAATTTGTATATATTAAAACACATAATATGCTCATTTGGTGTAATGCAGTAGCTGTACTGCTGATTCTACACAGTATTGTTATTGTTATTTAAGGTATTTAAATGTTGTCCACATTGACAAACTACAAAACTATGCTCCAACTTGTGTAAAAAAAACACATTGAAAATATCAATAGTGCATAATGAAGTACTTTTTATATTTTAAGTACATTTAGCTGATACTATTTCTGGTCTTATTAACTTCATATTTTTTTTTTAAATAGGCAATTATGCATAAAGTATTTTTCCTTTATTGAAAATTGAAGCATATTAATGCTAACATGCATTACTATGCTGTATTTTAGGGCCATGGTATTTATACTTTTAGTCAATGATTTGAGTACTTCTTCCATAACTGGTTACACATGCCTTCTTTTAAATAATGTCACTCTATTCTGTAAGGCGGCATCCAACTGAATCAATTCTGGAGGCCATAAAAGTGTATGTAAATTATACCCTATAATATAAAGTTTAATTAATTGATTTTCCTTAAATTAGTAAATATTATTTTAAACAATGCTTAATAAATTAGATTGTTCACCATTTTGATCCAAGATATCTGTTGTAATGATTGAGATCATTTTTTTCCCAAGGAAAGAACATTTCCTTTTCCGCAAATATCAGGCCCTACTACAGCGTGTTAGTTTATTTATCATTGTTTATTCTATACATGATGTTCATTTAATTTGAATTCTAAGGGCATAACCCCATTTATTTTAATCACATCTTCTAAGAGCAGACCTCAGAACAAGCAAACCTTTACTTCTGATCTGACACAGCGTTTGGTGTTAATATCAGGGATGCAAACTCATCAGGTATGAAAAAGGTGGACAAGGATCCGAGCCCCCCGACCCCACGGAATATCGGCTTTAAAATGAGGAATAACAAGAGGATTTTAGCAGTCAGAACAACTAAAGCAGCAGTGGTAATAATAACAGAAACGCCAAAGAGTCACATCTAATAGAATTATATAAAGCATTAATTTTAATTGTGTAGCAGTCAGTTTATAATTTTGGCAGCACTGTTGAGCATTTTGAAAATGTATTTTCATGCCTCTGTGCAAGGCTTAGTCTTTCTATCTTTATAGCCAGTGGTGTAAAGTAACTAAGTTCATAAACTCAAGTACTATACTTGGGTACAATTTTGAGATACTTGTACTTTATTTATGTATTTCAATGTTTTGCTACTTTGTTCTTCTTCTCCTCTACAGTTCAGAGGTAAATGGTGTACTTTGACTCCACTCCATGTATTTAATACCTTTAGTTACTTTACAGATGTGGATGAATGATGTGAAATATAATCAAGTGTTAAATCAGACTTTAGTTCCACCTGGAGTCAATTCACAAGCTACTCTGGTACTTCTACTTTTACTCAAGTACAAGACCTGAGTACTTCTACTTTTACTCAAGT